GGGGTGACTCCCAGTACATTATCAAAAAGGTTACCAGCTTCAGAAAAATGAAGGTTAAAATTGTCAACAATTTTTTTGGGCTCTGAAAAATATTTCCCATTTCGGTTAAGCTCAACGGGCAGATTATCTGTTTTGGATGCCTTTTCGATATATTTTTTTGTTTTCCAGAAGATCCTGTCACTTCCACGTGATTCCAGGAGAGTGGAGGAAAAGTAGGCATTTTTTGCATGCCGTGGTTTTTTAAAATCCTGCATTATAGCCAGTCATTGACCAAACACATTTTCTGAGCACATGCCCAAGCCTTGTCCCTAGTTTTCATGAGCTTAGTAATCATATAAACGGAGCATGTTTGTTAATAATTTGGAGAAACGTGTATCTGAAGGTCTCCCAAGCCGTAGTCAGGTTTGGGATATCACAGACCTTGTCAATATCCGAGTGAAGCACATTATTAGTAAATGCCTGAATGCTAAAGTTTTTCTCAGAGTGCTTCTCAACCAATTTAGGGGGGGCTTTGGGTCTGGCTGATGATCTCACCCCAAATATGAGGGAGTGATCACTAAGGTTATTAGCCAGAACACTAGTCAGTGCGAATTGTGAGGGGTATTTGTCAATATGGACGTCTAGCAGAGATGACTGTCCCGGATTTTTTAGGTTGGGTCTTGTGGGGATATTTATTAATGGAAACAGGCTAAATTAATCTGCAAAATTTGTGACCACGGCCGGCGGATTTAGCCAATTCCAATTTAAATCACCCACTAAAACTATTTCACCTTTCGGGAGGCCCCCAAGAAGCTCTCTCGGTGCAGACACAGCTTCAACATCCTTCCCACTCGGCAGTCTATAGCAGCACACTACCAATATCTGTTGATTAGTTGGGAGAGTTATTCTGAGAGCCAGACCTTCAAAGTAACATTTTTTAAACAAGGAGTGAGCTGGTGAACATGCAATAGCATTATGAACATAGATGGGAATTCCACCTCCTTTAGATCCTCGGTCACGCCGAAAAAGGTTGTAGTTGTTAATCGTAATTTGCAAGTCATTAACGGCAGGAGTGAGGAATGTTTCTTTTAGGCAAAAAATGTCCCGGTCCAAATTTGCCACTTCAAGTTTTAGTTGACTTCATTTAATCATAGGCCCTCTGATGTTGACATGTAGAACACCGACACCTTTTCTGCCAGAAAAATCTACAGGATTATACAAGTTCTTTACATTTGTGCCAGGATGAAGCTCAATAACACCCAGAAACAAGAAAAGTAGAATGAATAGTCTGCACAGGTATTTTCTGTGAAAGGATGAAGAGCGGCGAACCTTGGACAAATAGCAACAGCTCGCAGTTGGTAATGTTTTTAAGAGCAGAATGAAGTTTGGAAGGAGTACTGGTGAAGTAATGGGACAAAGATAAGGTTAGAAGTGTCTACAAGCTGTTTCATTAGCAAGTGTAGTGAAAAATTGAGCAACAAGTATGGACGCGAAGTTAGGCGGCTATCCGTTTGTAGAGTTGAGTGTGGCACTAGATATAGCTGGGAGGGACAGCAGTAGGATACACAGCAGGAGAATTGCCATCTTTAAAATATCAGGGTTGCACACAGTTTTTAACACACAAGCGAAAAGAAAAACATATATATACTTGTAGGCCGAGCGTTGAGAAATGTCTTGCCGCACTCGTCACACATACACGGCTTCTCGCCCGTGTGCTAGAGTTTTTTCAGGAGCTTGAGGGAGAGAGCTAGGCCGCAACCTCGGTGTAGGTGGTGTCTCTCTCTCCATGCATCGCACTTTCGCCGGCAGGGATATCCAGGCAAGCAGGGGGGTGCGTGGGGAGCGTGAGCTAGGCCGCAACCTCCGTGTGGGTGGTGGCGTCTCTCTCCATGCAGTGAACACCGCCACGCGTCAGCCCTGACGGATTGCAGCCGCTGCCTCCGCCCCACCCGTGGCACAGCTGCAGCTGCAGTAGTTTTTGCTGCTGTACTCATACCCCCACAGTGATCGTGGTGAAGAGTGAGGCGGTTGTTTCGAATCCTCAACCAAGCAGCCTCAGTTAAAATCTCGAAGATGTCGGCGAGTTGACAGCGTGAACATTAGAACATTAGAACAAAGAACAAGTTTAGTTTGTCGAACATGTAGGCTTTATCCTTTAGCTGTATCCCTTTAAATTGAGTTTATCCTTCCCCATGCTGCGCCACTGCTTCCAATCAGCGAGGGGTGGGGGGTGAAGGGGGAGGCCTCGGCCCAATCCAGGCAAGGCCTCGCTCTTTCACTCGTCGTTAACTGTAAGCCACACACGCCGCATAACAGCCTGTTGCGTGATGCTGCTGCTTAGGCAGTGGTGCACAAGACAAAAACTTAAACACGTTTGGCAATATATATAGATGCGACGTGTCCGCAAACAGGCCTTCCTCACAGCACAACGCACAGGGCACGTCGTCTCGATTAAACCCCCCTGCACCCGTCAATCTCAATTTAAACACAATTTAGACACACACACAGTTCACTCACACACACAGCTCACTCGCACACACTCAGCTCACTCACACACACTCACACACCGCTGCACACGCCGCCGCCATCTTGAGACATCGATGGGCAGATCAGCTCCACGGTAGGTCCTGGTGTCAAGGACATGGGTCCGCATCCGCTGTTCCGTCACTATGTAGTCCAGAAGATGTTCTTGCTTGGACCCGGCATGCATCCATGATGTTGTGTTGATGTGCCGATGCTGGAACAGCGTGTTGGTATTTACAAGCCCATGGGCTGCACAAAAATTGAGCAGCCTCCTACCGTTCTTATTGAGCTGATCTGGCCCATGCCTTGCAATCACTCCAGACCAGGTGCCAGCATCATGACCAACTCGGGCATGGAAGTCACCCAACAAGATGACTCTATCCTGTGGGGCCACTTGAGCTAGCACCTGTGACAGGAGGTCATAGAGGGCATCTGACTCATCGCACACACACACGGACTCTCACAGACACAACGCACATACATATATGGACTCACACCCACATGGACGTACCCACGCACACACGAACTTTTATATAGAGTAAATAAGTTTGTAAATAGTTTTTTATGTACGTGACTTTAGCACTACATTTTTATTTAACTACTTTCTTTAAAGTTGACGGATGCGAAAATGGAATAGCACTGGCTCACTTACAGGGCTTATGGCGTGGTACCTGGGTTCTTTTTTTTTTAAACCAAATCCTTCGCAAGTTTTGTACACAGACACACACACAGACAGAAATAATGACGTTTATAGGTCAGATGTTAATGATCCATGTGAAATGCATGTGTATTTAAGAGTTTATCTTTGTGGGGAGCTGTAGCGCAGTTATTTCACTGCATTATGAACTCAACAATTAGTTTGATTATCGCCGACAGCAAACATGATTGATAACACTGCGTAACAAAAAAAATTGTCCCTGCGTAGTAAGTGTTATTTTCTAATTGCGTATGCCTCAAAAGTACAGAAAATGGCTATTATTCCCACAAACTTTGCTTTTGCGACCAAGACAGTGATATTTTGAAATGTACCTATTTTCAATGAGGAAATGTGTGCATTTGTGTCATTCCTTAACGTAAAGTCCTGGTCACAAAAGGAAAGTTTGTGGGCATAACCAATAAAAAAAATAACACTAGCCATCCAGAGACAAAAATCGTGTTACATAGTGTAAGTGAAAGCTGAACTTATTGTGGGCCCCTGCTATGTTGATTCATCTTGAATTAATTACATGGTGAAGTGAGGAAGCATTAATACTGAGCAGATGAAGGTGGCCAGGCATGGTTCTGGACACACCACCACCACCTTTTTACCATGCGGGTGTGTGACAGTGTCAAGTTTGTATTTGCAGTAAAGTATATTAACTATTGAACATGGAGGTTAAATCAAAACAATAGTTTAATTTAGTTTTCCTCTAGGACTTTTTGTAAGAATGGAAACAGTCAGGAAAATATCTCAGCACATATGCAGCTGAAGTTAGATCTGTTCATCCGAGCATTCAAGCAAATCCACCTCGGAAGTTTCGATTGAACATTCATTTATGCATTTCGGTATAATACAAATAGTATTATTTTCAACACACTTTGTTATTATAGCTGAATTTTTCTTAAATATTCTTTTCATAGCTAGACAGCCGAAATTGTGTGCGTGGAGTTTTGGGTAAACATTCATTTTGAAGATACTAGAGCATCCAGGCATATTTATGACCATTGGCCCTCTCATTGTGTGCCTTAACAGCCCGCGTGATGAATTGGGGAATTATTTTCACTATATCATGAATTCTAGATTTGAAGCTTTCGTGACTGCAAGGATTCATATTCTTAGGTTTTTTCGGTAAAGTCACGTAGGTAAAAAATTTAAATTAATAAAAGTAAAATAAAAATCACGACGTTTCGGAGGCAACACAAGCTTCCGTCTTCAGGTGGAACCGTCACAGCCACGACAGCTGTATCAAGTAAATGAGAAATTACAAGAGCTACCACTCCGTATATATAATGGTTGAAGAGGGGAAGGGCCAAGTACGGCACACTTTTTATTAATATGGTAAGGTGAGGCTTAAGACTAAGAATAGACTGCATAACAAAAGATTGAGCCTTTGTTATGGAGAGGTGCGGTTTGTGACTACGCCTAGTCTACATAACAAAAGTGTGAAAAAAGAAAAAAACTAAACCTGGTAAAACAAAACTGGCTGTCTATCAATAACCTGTAATAGTTGTCTGTCAAATAAGATGGTCCAAATAAGTGTAGTTAAATCTTTTTTGCATGGTTAATCATTGGAAAAAAAAAATATTCCTGTCGTAGCTAGACAACCGAAATTGTGTGCTTGGAGTTTTTGGTAAACATTCAATTTGAAGATACTCGGGTGTCCAGGCATATTTTTGACCATTTGCCCTCTCATTGTGTGCCTTAACAGCCCGTGTGATGAATTGGGGAATCTCTTTCACTATATCATGAAAATATGAATATGTATAAACGTGTAAGTCATGTGTGACTGTGTATATATGCATTCCTCTGTGCCTTGATACTGACGTAGATGGTGTGGATATGTTTTTCTGTCTGCAGCTGACGCTTCCTCTGACTCTTCCTCTGCAAAATTGGTCTGATGGAGCAAAGGGACTCAGCGCAGCTCGGTACAAGAAGGAAACAATGCGACCAGTGTGCAAACAGCACGGATCGTACTGGAAGTTTGACACAGCACCAGACAACTCACACAGGAGAAAAACCATTCAAGTGCACTGTGTGTGACAAGGCATATGCACAGTCATCAACTCTTCAGATCCACCAGAGAACACACACGGAAGAGAAACCTTTCAAGTGCAGTTTCTGTGTAAAGGTATTTTCAGGTTCATCTCCTCTGAAACGACACCAGATAACACACAGGGGAGAAAAACCCTTCAAGTGCACTGTGTGTGAGAAGGCATTTACAGAGTCATCACATTTTAAAATAGACCAGAGAACGCACACAGGGGAGAAACCCTTCAAGTGCACTGTGTGTGGAAGTGCATTTGCAGCGTTATCAAATCTTCAGACCCACCAGAGAACACACACAGGAGATAAACCCTTCAAGTGCACTGTGTGTGAGAAGGCATTTGCACAGTCATCACATCTAAAAACACACCAGAGAACGCACACAGGAGATAAACCCTTCAAGTGCACTGTGTGTGTAAGCGCATTTGCACAGTCATCAATTCTTCACGACCACCAGAGAACGCACACAGGAGAGAAACCCTTCAAGTGCACTGTGTGTGAGAAGGCATTTGCAAAGTCATCACATCTTCAGAGTCACCAGAGAACGCACACAGGGGAGAAACCCTTCATGTGCACTGTGTGTGAGAAGGCATTTTCAGATTCATCACTTCTTAAAAGACACCAGAGAATACACACAGGAGAGAAACCCTTCAAGTGCACTGTGTGTGAGAAGGCATTTGCAAAATCATCAAATCTTCAGAGTCACCAGAGAACGCACACAGGGGAGAAACCCTTCAAGTGCACTGTGTGTGAGAAGGCATTTGCACAGTCATCAAATCTTAAAAAACACCAGAGAATGCACACAGGGGAGAAACCCTTCAAGTGCACTTTGTGTGGGAAGGCATTTGCACAGTCATCACTTCTTAAAAGACACCAGAGAATACACACAGGGGAGAAACCCTTCAAGTGCATTGTGTGTGGGAAGGCATTTGCACTGTCATCACATCTTCACAACCACGAAAGAACACACACAGGACAGAAACCCTTCAAGTGCACTCTGTGCAGGAAGGCATTTGCACTGTCATCACATCTTCAAATACACCAGAGAACACACATACATCAGAAGATCCCCAAGGAGCGGAGTCTGAAATTGGCTTGTGAAAGTCCAAGTGCTGCAATGAGCCCATCCCTGCTGAAAAAAGAACCAGAATTTAATTCCAGCTTGGACACAATTAAATGTATCAAGGTGAAGAGCGCAGAAGTGAAGGTGAAATGTGAAGAAGTGATGGTGAAGAGCGAAGAAGCGATGGTAAAATGTGAAGATGAAGATTCAACTCCAAAATCGGACCTTCACATCGATGGAGGCAACGTGAAGCAGGAGGAGAATTCTGACTGTGAGGCAGAGCGAGGCAACTCCCAGTAGTTTGTGGAAGTGGAGGTGTGGGTGGACTTCTTAGGCAATGCAAAGTCAAATGGAGACCCGGTAGATGTGTAAGTTTGAGACAATGAAGCTCCAATAGATGCACCTTTGTCACAGGCCTTTTAATTAAAATAACGTGAAGTTGCACACTCAATTCCTAGGTTCAACCTGCAGAGTAAGAGCAGCCAGTATTTGCGGACCTGTGGGTTGGGTAGATTTGTAACCAGGAGTTAGAGCCAATAAGCTCCAAAGCATTCTCTATGTTATACTATGTTATAATAATTTTAGCATTTATATGGTGCTTGCTTAATCTCCTCAGCAACTCAGTTGTTTTGTATCATCTCATCACAGACACTCGAAGAGCATGTTGTATATGTAATGCGAGCGTAAATCGGGTTGTTGCTGGGCTCTGGCCCAATCACACGGCCCGGAGTATTGGGAGGCGGAGCCTGGTCTGCGGGGCGTGTGAGAGGGGCCACCGTTCACCTCGGCTCCAATGGGAGGCGAGGTGAATGGGGGCGGAGCCAGCAAGGGCAGTATGGGAAGGCCGGATCTAACGATCCGGAAGGGGAGGAGTCAGGGTCACGTGGGGGGAGAGGATATAAGTGGGAGCCCGGAAGAGATCGGGGTCAGTTGGGGAAGTTAAGAGTCTTGAGCCACGTTGGGTGGTGAGAGAGATCCGCGCCATCGGCCACGTGGCCGAAGGACCTCAGCACGCCGTCGGCCAGCGGTGTGCGGAGTACGGGAGTAGAGGAGCTAACGGAGGAGCGTGCGTGGCACGCGAGAGGAGACACTGGTCCCTTATCAGGACCAGCGGGGTGTGAGGAAGAGTGGAGGAGCTGACGAGGGAGCGTGTGCGGGGCGCGCGCGAGATGTCGCTGGTCCGCGGAGGAGACCAGCGGGGTGCGGAGAAGAACCTAAATAAAAGACAAGCGGAGACCAACAGTGCCTGACGGAGTCTTTTATTACACTGGGGTCAGAAGTGCTTCGAGATGTCAAAACATCTCAAGAAAAAGAATATACCTACGCCATCTTCAGAAGACGAAGAGGACCTTCCTCCGGCGGTGGCGATCCCGACCATGGAGGGCGCGGGCGAAGTGGCGGCGAGCGACACGACAGGAGTACAAGATGTCGTCGCGGCGGCCGGGCCGTCTGCGTTAACGAGCACCGAGCACGGCTGGTGACACGTGGCAGACCAGCTTGATTCGCTACGGGCCGTTTTGCTGGATTTAGTCACCCTGGTGGCGCCTGCGATGAAGCCGGGACAGCCACGCGTTGGGCCTTCAAGCGGGGAGCCGTCGGGTGGGGCCGAGCCGTCCGCCATTGGGGCCTCTGCGAGGCTTCCCGCCCTTCCCGATACGCAGCAGGACGCCGCCATCTTGGGTGTGGCCGTGGCCGAACGGCGGGAAGCCGCCATCTTGTCGCCGCCACATGGGACGCCTGCATCGGAAGACAGCAGCTCGGGGACTCGCAGCCATCGCCTGACGACGATTAAAGAATTCTCAGTTGGAGGAGATTGGAGCGCATTTGTGTGGCGTTTTGAGTCGGCCGTCCGATCCGTCAAGTGGACGGATGCGGAGGCCTTGGAAGTTCTGCCGACGCTCCTGGATGACAAGTCTTTGAAATTCTTCCGCTCCATCGCGGCCGTGAAGAAGGCGACGCTGAAAGGGGCGTTCGACGAAATGGCAGAAGTGTACGAGCCTCAGGACGACGCACACCGCAGGTTCGTCCAGAGGTAATGGGCAACGGAGGAATCGCCTGTGGCCTTCCGGGGCGCTGTACTTGAGCTAGCCATGGCTGCGTATCCAGAGACGGAGCCCGACTTGTTGGAGCCCTTGATACTGGGTCAGATGTTGGAGCTGTCCAAGGACTTGGGCATTCCACTGCCGGTGTGCGGCCATGAGCAGCTGACCTCCCGGATGGCTGCCAAGTACCTCAACATGCAGTTCAACTTGCGCCGTTGGGCAGAGATGACCGCCTGGACGGGGAGCCCGACCGTGGAGGGAGACGCCGTCGTGTGGACTCCGTCGAAGGCCGTCTTCGTGCCGGACGAGAGGGGGCCTGGCGATCTCACTGCGGCGACAGGGCCAGTGGGTTCCTCCAGGGGGAGCAGTGTCGTTTCGGGCCACCGCCGATGGATCGCCGAGACGTGGGGGGAGCCGGGCGGCGGGCCGACTCGTCGTGTTACCGCTGCGGGCGTATTGGACACTTCGCGCAGGACTGTCGGAGTTGCCTTCGCCCGCCTCTTCAACCGGAGTCCCCGGCCAGGGGACGCGCCTTCAACGCCGGAGAGTCAGCCGTGTCAGGCAAGTCGGTACGCATCAGACACCCGGCAAGGCCTGTCATCTCATTCATCACCGTCGGTATGCGTTCTGGGGGCCTGTTCTAACGGGGGGACTCTAAGGGATCCGCATCGCTCGCTGACACAGTGGCGAAAATTGGCACTGAGGGTGGTCGCAGCCACTACTGGGTCGTCAACCGTACCGGGTTCGATACAGGGGATCGACATGCGGATTTTGGTAGATTCGGGTGCGTCCTCCACTATCATCTCGGACGTGATATTCCATCTCTTGTCCATTCCGCCGTCGCGGGTACGACCGGTTTACGATTCATGTGTTGCGGCGAACGGAGGGAGTATCGGCATCGTTGGTCAGGTGGAGGCGCGTATTTCGGTTGGGGGTGCGTCGGCTTCGGGGACGGTGTTAATTTCCAGGTCCCTCGCTGTGCCGTGTTTATTGGGGACCGATTTCCTGGCATAGATGCCCATTCAGATAAGGGTAGATCAGAATTGTATTGAGTTACCGGCGGGCCGGAAGATTTTCTTTTTGCCGTCGCCGTGGGGCCAGTCCGCCCCAGACCGCCAGGTGCAGGCGCTGTCCGATGTTTCGGTCGACATTCCACCTGGCTCGCAGATGCTCATTCTACTGCGTTATCGGAAGCCCGTGCCTGGGGTTAAAGGGGGCGGCGGGGGTGTTGTTGTCGCCATCCAACGCGGTTATGGCTGGCCTGGCACTGGTCGCGGCACAGACGATTGTTCGGCCAGGTCAGCCTCCGTGTTTGCAAGTGTTGAATTGAGGCGCGGACAATGTCGTCGTGCCGGCCGGAACGGTTCTGGCCCATGCCACGACCGCCTTCATGGCCCATGATGATCTTGGCTCACCGGGGCCTCGTAAGGGGGGTTTCGACCTCGACGTCGCAGGACGATCGATGGATCACCGGGTTGTGCCAGGAAAATGCGTCTCTGACTACGGACCAGCGGTCCACGCCTCGCGTGCTATTGGATAAATATTTTGACGTCTTTAGTAAAGACGATTTCGATTTGGGACGCACCTCGTTGCTCTCCCACCATATTGATACCGGGGATGCTGCTCCCATTCGGATGAATCCATATCGGTTGAGCCCGGTGGAGAGGAATCATGTACGCGGCGCAGTGGATGATATGCTAGCCCCCGACATTATTTCTCCGTCCAACAGCCCATGGGGCGCTCCGATGGTCCTGGTGAAGAAAAAGGATGGTAATTTGCGGTTTTGTGTTGATTTTCGGAGGTTAAACAAGGTGTCGGTTGCGGACGCTTACCCCCTGCCGCATATGGATGATTCCCTCGATGCCTTGTCTGGGCCGAAATTTTTTTCCACTCTTGACCTCTCTTCGGGGTTCTGGCAGCTCCCCCTGGACGAGTCCTCGAGGGAAAAGACGGCTTTCCGTACGTCGGAGGGCCCTGTTTCAGTTTAATTGTTTTCCCATGGGGTTGAATGCCACCCCTGCTATGTTCCAGAGGTTGATGGAACTCGTGTTGACCGGTCTGCAGTGGGACACGTGCTTGATATATTTGGATGATGTTATTGTTTTCAGCCGTACGTTTGAGGAGCATCTTCAGAGATTGGATACTGTTTTTGCTAGGGTGCGTTCCGCCAATTTGAAATTTAAGCCCAAGAAGTGTCACCTTTTGCAATGATCCGTGCGCTATTTGGGCCACATTGTCAGCTCTGACGGTGTGGCCACGGACCCGGAGAAAACGGCGTGCGTCCGGGACTGGCCGATTCTGGCCACGGTGGGTGATATGCGTCAATTTGTCGGGTTCGCTTCCTATTATCGCAGGTTCGTTCCAAATTTTGCTACAATCGCTACGCCGTTGCACCTCCTTACGGCAAAGAACCGGAGGTTCAGCTGGGGGCCGGCGGAGGAGGTGGCGTTTCATGGCCTACGTGATCGCATGGCGTCAGCGCCGACGCTGGACTACCCTTATTTCACTCTGCCTTTTATTCTGGATACCGACGCTAGTGACACGGGGATTGAGGCCGTCCTATCGCAGTTTAAGGATGGCGTCGAGCGCGTTGTGGCTTACAGGAGCCGCGTTTTATCTCCGGCGGAGACCCGCTACTGCGTTACCCGCCGGGAACGGTTGGCGACAGTGCATTTTGTCCGTCAATACCGCCCGTATTTGTATGGCCATAAATTCATTGTGCGCACGGACCATGCGGCTTTACAATATTCCCTGAAAGTTGACCAACCGTCTGGCCAATTGGCACGATGGTTGGAAAATTTGCAGGAATTTTCATTTGAGATTCAATATCGTAAGGGGTCGCGTCACGTAAATGCGGACGCGCTCTCCTGATTGCCGCAGGGAACCACCTGCGCCTGCGCCTCTGGCACGAATAGGTGCACGCGGGTTACACAGCCCCCGCGTCCTGTCATGTCCGCTGTGGAGATGCCCGTGGCTTCCACGTGTCCGGAACCGGCCGACGGGGTTTTGAATTTGCCGCGTTCCGTGTGGGTTCGAGAGCAATTGCTCGACGATTCGCTGGGGGCCTTGCGGAGTCGGGCTGCGAAGGAAAGGGGATATCCGTCGTCCAATGGGATGCCGGGAGCGGCTCCCCGTGATGGCTTGTTGATGTGGAGGGAAGGCTTGCACGATCGCTGGTGTCTTGTTGTGTTGTCGTCATTGCGATATGAGTTGATTCGGATTCTGCACGCTGAGAAGTTGTTACATCTCGGGGTGCAGAAAACCTTATTGACATTGCAGCGGGATTATTTTTGGCACGGCATGACGACTGACGTCGTCGGGCATATTCGGGCGTTCTCCGATTGTGCCCGGCGGAAGCCGCCAAAGCAACCGTATATTCCCCCAGTTGGTGGCGTTGGATATTCTGGGGCCCTTTCCCCCGTCCGCTCGGGGGAACAAATTTTTGCTGGTCGGGGTTGAATATCTTTCCCGCTGGCCGATGGCCTGGCCTTTGCCCGACCAGTCGGCGGCGTCTATCACGGATGCATTTCTGTTCGGATATGTGATGGACAAGGGGGCGCCGGAAAGGTTGCTTACAGACCAAGGGCGAAATTTTTCTTCAAACCTATTGCGGGATGTGTGCGACACACTGGGGACTAAGAAAGTTCGGACGTCTCCCTACCATCCACAAACTGATGGGATGGTTGAACGATTGAACCGGACCCTGTCGGCCATGCTCTGTCATACGGTTAGCGAGAAGAAGGCCGATTTGGATTTGCATATCCCTGGAGTGCTCTCCGCTTACCGGATGGCGCCACATGCGTCGACGGGGTACTCATCTTTCTTTTTGATGTACGGCCGCAAGAATGTGCCGCCTGTGGAAGTGAAACTGGGCACGCGGGCGAGGGGTCCTGTTAAGCCCCTCCCCAAATATATTTGTGACGCCGCTCGGCGCGTGGCGGAGGCGCGGGAGGCGGCCCGATTGGCTACGGCCACGATGAGAGAGCCGGGCGCAACGTTCATTCCGGGGAACGAACGTTGCGCCCGGCTCTCTCATCGTGGGTCCCCCTGGCGAGTGGGGGACATGGCCTAGCTCCACTGCCCACAGGTACCGGTGGGGACCTCCCCTAAGTTGCACAAACCCTGGCAGGGGCCGGTTGTGCTCATTGAGGTCCCTAGCCCGCAGTCCGCGCGCGTTCGGGTCGGATCGCGACGTTGGTACGTTCACACGTCCCGATTGAAACCCTACGTAGTCCCATGTGTGGATATGTCATCTCCTAACGTTGCCTTGCCGGTGTCTGTCGCATCTGACGCGCCACTGACTTTACCTGTTTGACCTGCAAGCGCGCCTGTCGTGCCTCCTGTAGATGGCCCGGCTGTGATCCTGCCGGACACATGGATTCTTGCACCGAGTGGGCCTACCACGGCGACGGGGACACTTTGCCCCGCTGCCCCTACAACCCCACCGCGGTTGCAGTTGCAGGGGCCCCGAATACGGACCTCTCTGGGGAACGGGATGCTGGGACGGACAAGCCTCCACCAGCGGCGGATAATTCCGGTTCCACCGCTCCTAAATCTCTATCGGGACTGCGACCTTTGGGGGCGCCGCCTCTCGTGAAGGACGGGCCGGTGACCCGCACTCGTTCCAAATCTCTTCCCTTTCGTTAATTGTGTTGTCGTTATACTCTCCGTTGTGTCTAGTGATTCCTGATTGTGATGCTGTCGCTCGCATTATTTTATCCTATTGCAGCCGGGACGGCTGGCGAGCGTAAATCGGGTTGTTGCTGGGCTCTGGCCCAATCACACGGCCCAGGGTATTGGGGGGCGGAGCTTGGTCTGCGGGGCATGTGGGAGGGGCCACCGTTCACCTCGGCTCCAATGGGAGGCGAGGTGAATGGGGGCGGAGCCAGCAGGGCAGTATTAGAAGGCCGGATCTGACGATCCGGACGGGGAGGAGTCAGGGTCACGTGGGGGGAGAGGATATAAGTGGGAGCCTGGAAGAGATCGGGGTCAGTTGGGGAAAATAAGAGTCTGAGCCACGTTGGGTGGTGAGAGAGATCCGCGCCATCGGCCACGTGGCCGAAGGACCTCAGCACGCCTTCGGCCAGCGGTGTGTGGAGTGCGGGAGTAGAGGAGCTAACGAAGGAGCGTGCGCGGCACGCGAGAGGAGACGCTGGTCCCTTATCAGGACCAGCGGGGTGTGAGGAAGAGTGGAGGAGCTGACGAGGGAGCACGTGCGGGGCGCGTACGAGACGACGCTGGTCCGCGGAGGAGACCAGCGGGGTGCGGAGAAGAACCTAAATAAAAGACAAGCTAATGAGATTCTGCAGGAAATCTCCAGTTGCCTTCAAGAGAAACAAATGATGAAAACAGCAGAGGTAATGAACCTCCCTTGGACAGCGAAATTCAACCAAGGGCAGTTAATCATTGCGAGTTAACTGGGTTTTTTTTTTAAATACAACAGTAATGTTTGACGCTTAGCTATATCTTCAACCTCAGGATATCAAAATATAACTTGAGAATAAGAAGCACGGATCCCTGGCAATACAGACTGGGAACAAATGTTAATTAAACCCTCGTAATATCCTTGGTAACAACTCATGGTATACCACAAATCTTGGTTAAGCATGAACCAAGTAATTATGAAAGTATTAGACCTAGGGTCATTCAGAAGAGATAATGCTAAATATGCCAATCACACACGACCAAGATAATATGTATTCCACAGGATCAGAGCCTCGCCAACCGCCTTTGTCTTCCAGTAGCTAACACAGTACATGGTCAGTTTAACACGTAGACTTTCGCGACCAATATTAGTCAAATGTGTCGTAACCCTCCACCACCCGACACTGCCAAACAGTAAAAATTGTGTTGCGTTTACCAAGACAAATAGATTTTCGATTTAAAGCTTTCGTGACTGCAGGGATTCATCTTCTTGGTTCTTTCGGTAAAGTCACGCAGAAGGGAAGTAACAAAATAATAAAAATAAACATAATAAAATTTATTCTCACGACGTTTCGGCCACAACGCAAGCAGCCGTCCTCAGATGAAAACCAGGTCTGTCAGGGCGACAGCGTCTGAATGAAACAGCACCATGCTTGGAGCATATATTTAAGCTGGGTTGGAAGGGGGGGAAAGGGCGCCTTGACAAAATAATCTGTATATCAAGAGGAATTTCGCATATTTATGGGAAATGCAGGTATGTGATTAGTACTACTTATGCCCGTGCATTATGCAGGATTAGCAGCATCAAAGGGAGGGGATATGGGAAATGCAGGTATGTGATTAGTACTACTTATGCCCGTGCATTATGCAGGATTAGCAGCATCAAAGGGAGGGGATATGGTTAGCATTAATAAAGGGAAGGAGTGTTAATAGTATGTAGCTGCAGTAACTAAAACCACCGCGTAAACAACTAAAGTATAAACTACATAGTATCATCAGTATACTAAATATACTCTACAATAAGCTGAGTTAATAACATACCTGCATTTCCCATATCCCCTCCCTTTGATGCTGCTAATCCTGCAAGAAACAGGTCTGTCGAAGACAGTAGGTATAGTGTATAGCGGATTGTATAATAATAAATAGTATAAAATTGTAATGTTTAATACAATGTATAAAGTAATATATAGTATCGTAATTGTATAGTGAATCTACAGCAGTGTGATATACATTAGGGTGGGTAGAATAATACAGTGTAATATTACAATGTATAAGGTATAGGGTGGTGTATAGTAATACAATTTAATGTTGGGTTTGTCTATGGCAGTATATAGCAGGGGGTAGACCGATTGATATGAAAAAGAATTTCCATATCAATCGGAATTTAGCATATGTATGGGAAATGCAGATATGGGATTAGTACTACTTGTGAAGTGTGTAGGAGGTGGGAAGGGGGTTTAAAGTCATTATGCCCGTGCATTATGCAGGATTAGAATCAAAGGGAGGGGGTAGGAGTAGCATTAATGAAGTGAAGGAATGCTAATAGTATGTAGCTGCAGTAACTCAACCACCACGTAAACAACTAAAGTATAAACTACATAGTATCGTCAGTATACTAAATATACTCTCCAATAAGCTGATCTACTAACAGTAAGTAATACATTATAATTCTATGTCGCAAAATTATAATATGCTTCCAGCTAAACTTTATTCTCTTACATCACACGGGTCTACCCCCTGCTATATACTGCCATAGACAAACCCAACATTAAATTGTATTACTATACACCAACTTATACATTGTAATATTACACTGTATTATTCTACCCAACCTAATGTATATCACACTGCTGTAGATTCACTATACAATTACGATACTATATATTACTTTATATATTGTATTAAACATTACAATTTTATACTATTTATTATTATACAATCCGCTATACACTATACCTACTGTCTTCTCGACAGACCTGTTTCTTCACCTGAGGACGGCTGCTTGCGTTGTGGCCGAAACGTCGTGAGAATTATTTTATTATGTTTTTTTATTATTTTGTTACTTCCCTTCTGCGTGACTTTACCGAAAGAACCAAGAAGATCAAGACAAATAGTTCACTACTTTCGCCCACCACCGGTGTGTTGAGTGATTCAACATCATTTAAAATATTGAGTACAACGTTTCGCTGGTAATTAAATCCAGCATCATCGGGCAATTTGCCATAATGTTGAGGCCCTCCACTCGCTCCTGGTCTTAAATAGAATAACAGGGTGACGTCATCTTTTATCTCAATCTGGTGCAGTGATTCGAGGCGGAGACGGGGAGGGTATTGTAATTATATAATTGACTAGCATTACTACCCGGCATCGCCCGGGACTTGGATTCACCACGCCAGGCCGCCTTTGTCTCCTCAGTGGCGATGTTCACACCACACCAGTTACTCGTTTGAGGCTGAGTTGACCTAGGGAATGCCCAGGACCGGTTGAAATAATCGTCACCGGTGATGGCCGTGAGCGGGAATCGCACTCGGGTCGCCGGGTTCATAGCGCAGTGCGCTAACCACTACACTACAATGCGTTACTGTTCCACATGCGTGGGCCACATGACAGATTTGTATGTCGGATTATGAAATTTTGATAAAAATAATGTTTCACAGTCCATATGTGTATGTGTGTGTAGGGCTATGTGTGTGTCAGTCTATGTATGTCTAAGTTCATGTGTGTGTGTCTTAGTCCATATGTGTGTGTGTAAGTACATATGTGTGTTTACGTCAATGTGTGTTTTAGTCCACGTATTGCTGTGTGCGAGTCGGTGTGTGTGTGTGTGAGTCGCTGCATGTGTGTACGTCCATATATGCGTGTGCAACTCAATGTGTGTGTATGTCTCAAGTGGATGTCTGTGTGCCAGTCCACATGTCTATGTGTGTGTACGGCAATGTGTGTGTCACTCTATGTATGTGTGTGTGTCGCTGTATGTGTACGTCGATATGTTTGTGTAACTCCATGTGTGCGTATCTCAAGTGCATGTCTGTGTGTGTGAGTCCATATGTGTGTGTGTCTGTAAGTCGATGTGTTTGTGTGTGTCAGTCCATATGTGTGTGTGTGTGTCTCAGTCCATCTGTGTGTGTGTTAGTCGCTGTGTGAGCATGGCTCCATGTTAGTCAGTGTAACTCCATTTCTTTGCGTGTCTGTAGGTCCAGGTGTGCATCTTAGTCCATGCGTGTGCTTTATTGACCTGGTCAAGGCCTATGATACCATCAGTAGGCCTGGCCTCTGGGTTGCTCTTCGTGCTTTCCGAGTCCCGAACCCACTCATCACCATCCTTAAGGATCTTCATGATGGTCAGCGGCCCCGCGTCTTAACTACGTGGCCGTGAGTCAGAGCCATTCTCTTTACACCTTGGGGTGCAACAGGGATGTCCTCTGGCTCCCACATTGGTCCACGTAGTTCCTCGAGCCTTCAATGCCTGTACCGGAAGAATTCCCATCTGCTACAGATACAATGGGAGGCTGATCGATGCCCGGGTGCGGCCAAGGGATGGCTCCCTATTGCTCAACCACGTTATGTGTGCCGATGATCTGCTAATGGCTGCTTACTCGGAGGAGGAGTTCGAGGTGCTGCTGCTGAACCTGGAGCTTGCCACCAACAGGTGGGGCCTTACCATCAGCCCAACCAAAGCTAAGCACCTGCCTTGCTATTTTGTACCATCGGACACACCACCCCCACAACTCCCAATTGGTGATGGCGTGGTTGTGGAGACAGTGGAGAGTTTCCCTGGGCAGTGTGCTAATGACCGGCTCCGGTTTAACAGCAGAGGTCTCACTCTGAATCAGTCGAGCTGCAGTATCTTTTCACTCCGTACTAAGCTTCAGGTCTTATCGGCCACGGTCATTCCCTCCCTTCTCTACGCTTGCGAAACTTGGACTCCCCTAATGGAACATCTTCGCCGGTTAGAAACATTTAGGCTGGCCTGCCTACGATCCATCCTGGGTTTAACCAGGCTGCATTGTGTGAGGAGCTCACAAATCCTTGAAAGATGTGGACAAAGTGCCATCGGTGACCTCCGGCAGGCAAGGCTGCGTTGCCCGAGTCATGTAGCCCGCATGGCCAGCCACCGCATGCCTAAACAGCTTTTGTTCCGCCGCATCGAGGGGGCTAAACGGGCATGGCATGGGCTGGAGAAGACATGGAGTGATGTGCTACAGGAGGACTTGGAGCTGAGTCCACTTGCGGATGACTGGTACCAGCCGTGTCAAGATCAGCCTCTATGGAGGAGGCTCCTGAAGGACGCTACTGGCCAGTAGCGTCCTGAAGGGCGGAGGAGCGACGCTCACAACAATGAGCGGAGCGCCGGGTGGCTAAAGCACAGAAAGTTGCCACAGTAGGGGCCACAGGTGGTGCATCAGCCAGTCGTCTCAGTCAGTCGACCTGTGCCATCTGGGTTTGCCCCGTGACTTCTTGCCAGCGGCCGTTCGACACTTCACGTGCCCTCAAGGTGCACATAGCCTGGCAGAAGCGTTGTTGTGATGTCACCGCCACTTAGTGGCGAATGGTGTTGTTCAGTCTATGTCTGTATGTGAGTCCATTTGTGCATGTAACTCTATGTGTGTGTATCAATGGATTTGCGTGTGTAACTACATGTGTCTGCCCTTTTCGCCCGGGCAACGCCGGGTACTAACCGCTAGTAAAAATTTATAAAATTTTTAAAAATACGTAAATCGTATAAATTATGATAATGTATGTAATTATATGCATAAATTCTGATAATCACGGATATAATCGTAGTAATTTATGTAAATGCTTGCGATTATTTTAATGTGTGCAGTTATAATAATTAGGCTTAGCTTCGTTAAACCAGAGTTGTATCAATCGGGATAAAACGATTATCTTTGATTAAACATTTACTGATTATCTTAGTGTGGTTATGTTATGTTAGGTCTCCAAATTCATATCTCATCGCAGGATACAGTTTTTATGAATAAGACAGTTTTGCATGGACTGGGAAAGAAGCACTCGAACTCTTGGTGTTAAGCAATTTTAATTCTAAACAAACATATGACACTCTAATATGCAAAGGCAAAAGTATACGTCAATAGATTCATTGGTAAGATTATGCAATTAACGAAAATAAATGACTAAAACATTTCTTATTCATGTAACTCGACGGCAGCAACTGTTTTGCACGATCAGTAGATATTGAACGCACCACCTTGAAATGGCAACCCTTTTGAAACACAAAGATAACTTTTTGAAAGTCTTATTCGTGTGCGTGTTGTGTGTGCGTTGTCCCCTTGTAAAATTAATTTAAAATTTTTTAGAGCCGGGAGTTGTGTCGTTAGCTTGTGGGGTGGGGGAGGGAATATACAAACAACGGCCAGACAGTTTCTCTCCGGCTTGGGCTTGGCTGCAGCGAGCCCGTCCTGCTTTCTCTCTCCACTGCTCGATCGAGCGGCGTTGGCACGATGTTCGCCGTCGTGGTACGCGATGATTCCGTCGTCGGATAGCGCGCAGCTCCTCCACCGCTGGATGACGAGTCGGCACGACGCTCGGTGACACCCGGGTCGTGCTGCTCGTGCGCTCTCTCTCTCCGCTGCTGGATGACGAGTTGGCACGACGCTCGCCGACGTGGTGCGAGATGATTCCGTCGTCGCTGCTGGACGTCTTGTCTGTTCTCACTGGGTGTTGGTCGGTGTGTGTGTGTATCAAACACACGGCGCATTCGATGGCGCTCTCTCTCTCTTGGTGGCAGCTCCAGGCCTCTCCACTGCTGGGTGATTGTTGAGTCGACACGATGCTCGCCTTCGGCGGTGCGCGATGATATCGTTGTCGGATAGCGCACAGCTCATCCGCTGCTGGATGAGGAGTCGGCACGACGCTCGGTGACGCCCGGGTGGTGCTGCTGCTGTCCCTCTCTCCTTGATCGCTGCCAACTTCACACGGACACCTGTCCTTACTTCAGGCTGTGTTGGCTCAGGCTCTGGACGACGCGGCTGTGCGCGTTCACCGGCTTGGAGCGCTCTGGCGATGAACGATGATTCTTGTTGCTCATCCGCTGCTGCTCGTCCTTTTCGATGCTCGCTTGGTCGACGCTTGGCGATTTCCGCCCTTTCTACAGGTTGATTGCTTGTTGTCACTCGTCACTCTCTCTTCTCCGTGCTTTCCTTTGTTCGTGCAGCTGCCAGCTTCACTCGCACTTAACCACACCTCGCCACTTCGTTCTGCGAGAAGCAACACCTGCCATCGGTATCGGTGTTTGCTCCCTCACGACGCTCCGCCAGCTGGAGCATGGCTGAACCCAGCCTCGACCCAGGTTGAACTCAGATTTCTGCCCTAACGACCCCTCGTCGTCCCATCTATTCTCAAGGCACGACTCGCCCCAGCTCCCTTGCGAGCCCCGTCGCAACGTTGCGTCGCAAGCCGAGTCCCGAGACTGAGCACGACTCGAATCAGACTACTCACTCTTCTGCCCGTTTGTGCTTACAACTCAAAAACGTGAACCCCCCTGCGCATCTCTTGTGAGAGAAACAACAACCCGAAGAAAAAAAAACCAGACACCCTCCCGACCCCTCCTCGTGACCCTTTCTAACCCCCTAAGTATTTATAGTGCCATCTGTTTGTGCCGGACCGTTGGAGACAAAGGTGGCTGAGGAGATTTTTGCAATACATTTATGTGGTCCTGTGTGTTACATTTATTCTTGATATTTCTTATGAGTTCCCTCGGTCTTAGTTTATCGTGGTTATTATTCGGTCTATGTTTAATGAATATTCGTAATGATCCTCGTTACATCATTATTTTGAGGGCTTTGCCAAGTTTGGTTATGCGTTTGTCTCCAGGAATTGGTGTATTATTCTGAGTTATATTTTAATGTCCTGAGGTTAAGTGTAACTAAGTTTCCACTTAAACTTTCTTGACAGCTGTAATTCGTATTCTTTAGTTTTTGGTAAGGTCATGTAGATATAAACATACAATACAAAATAATATATATGCGGTGAATACGAGTAAAATGAGGGAATTACTAATAAAAAGCCCCTATTGTAGGCTGGTTGATTCTTTTTGTTAAGTTTCTACTTTTCGTTAAGGAAACGTTAGAGAAAACGCGAGTTGCAACAGTTGTTTTTCTCTGCTCTGCACGATATCCGTGCATCTCCAGACGTCTTGGGAAGGTTAGGCCATCGACCTTTTGTCCATCTGGATGTCTCTGACCTCTCTGTGCTCCGAATGACCTTCCACGGTTTTTTTTTCTTTGTGTGGCATGCGAGGGTTAGTGGGTTGTTTTCATTATTTAATTAAAATATATATAGATGTAAAAAAAAAACAATGTTTTTTTTGCCTAATTATTCTTAATATTAATTTTTGGAAAACAGGGCATAGATACAACACGTCACAGCTCCCCCCCCCCCCCCCCATAAAAAGTTTATTTTTATAATTTTTACATGGTGTACAGTCTGGAAAGTACCCACATGGCAAGTTTGTTGCATGTCGGGAAGTACGCGAAACATTTTGAACGGTCACATAATCACAACTTTGCCTTTTATGTGTAATGGGTTCCGGAGACACTTGTAGAGGTAACTTCTTTATTACGATACCACACTCCAACAGTCCTCTGTTATAGCCTAGGGACACAGCCTAGAGACACAGCCTACTCTGGCTACGCTCTCGGGTCCTCCGGCTACAATTACCCTAGGGGAGGCTACCTGACCTGACCCAGCCAAGGTGCGGGTTTCGACTCTGGCTTCCTCGGAACTCGCCCTTACAAGGACGTAGAGCCACGAGTCCCAGAGTCCCACCACTGGCCCGCACAGCATCCCGGCCCTTACAAGGACAAGCGGGGCGAGGGGGTCCAGGGTCCTAAGTTAGCTGGTCTTTGGTCTAGAGCTGCGACTGGTCCCGATCAGTTGGGGAGGTCCCCTTTAATGTCCCTTTGCCCATCGTGGGGTGGCGTTGCGTGGGATCGTAGATCCCCCACAGCCCCCGCCCCCCCCTTGGCGGTACGGGGCACCCTTACAGATGGACCTCGTCTACCACTGCCGGTAAGCGTGGCCCATCTACGGCACTACATATGTATATGGAAATTGGTAATCATTCAATTGTTGTTCATTGCCATTTGTTTCCCCTATAAGGAATGGGAATTGTAATAGAATATGCTTCCAGGCCGCACTAAGCCTGTAGCTTTCAAAACGATTCAAGTTACTTGTATTTCGCTCAATTTCAATGGATTATATAATTAGTCTTGGCCAGTAATAATCAGTTTTCCACAACACTTCAACATTATCAAAATCAATTGAGTGTCCTTGACAAGCATGCTCTGCCACTGCCGACAGTTGTGTTTGAGATTATTTAATAAGACTAAAAGAACACCAAAGAAAGTACTGTCTGTGAAAAGACATTTGCACGGTCATCAGTTCTTCAGATCCACTAGAGAACACACGGAGAAACCCTTCATGTGCAGTGTGTGTGGGAAGGCATTTTCAGGTTCACCTGCTCTTAAAAATCACCAGAGAACACAGGTGTAATGATTGTGGTGTTGCTGCTGTGTACACACGTACACGTGTGACGTCACTGTGCCGGGAGCGTTTCTACCACGTGGGTCTACACACATGACGTCATCCTGGCTGGAGGCGGGAATGACGTCAGGGCTGGTGCTGGACATGTGACCGAATCCGAGTGGGGGGCCGGGGGCCCAGGGGGACCTCGGGGGGCACGTGGACAGCAGGGGGGCTTCGAGAGGGTGCTCGAAGGGTGGCGTGGCCGGGGTGAGGCCGGGCACGCCGAGGCCCATATAAGCAGCCTCAGGGGGTTCGAGGCTGCCCGTGCCGAGAATGAAGACGCCTCATGAAGATGCCAAAAAGAGAAGGCCTCCAGTGAGCAGACCTGCCAGCAGCCCACCTGGCTGGGTCACGCTAGAGTAGCTAGGAGAGAAGTGTGTATTAGCTAGGGTAGGTCGGTGGTCACCACCCTATGTGTAAAGTAAGAGGTAAAGTAAGAGTAACTGTTGAGTCACTGTTGTGTTAATTAATAAATGAGTGTTGCCTCCCAAGAAATGTGTGCACCTAATATGAACCCATTACACAGGCATCAGAAGATCCCCAAGGAGCAGAGTCTAAAATCGGCTTGTGAAAGTCAAAAGTTCTGCAAGGCGCCCATCCTTAATGATAAGAACTACAAGAAAATCTCAGCTTGGACACATTCAAATGTATCAAGGGGAAATTTGAAGAGGCGAAGGTGAAATGTGAAGATGCGGCAGTGAAGAGCGAAGAAGTGACGGTAAAATGTGCAAATGAAGATTCAACTCCAAAATAGGACCTTCACATCGGTGGAGGCAACGTGAAGCAGGAGGAGAATTCTGACTGTGAGGCAGAGCGAGGCAACTCCCAGCAGTTTGTGGAAGTGGAGGTGTGGCTCGACTTCTTAGAAAATACAAAGTCAAATGGAGACCCGATAGATGTGTAAGCTTGAGACAATGAAGCTCCACCAGATTTTTCACAGGTCTTTTATGAAATAATGAGAAGTTGAACACTCAATTCCTGGGTTCAAACTGCAGAGTAAGAGCAGCCAGTATTTGCGGACCTGTGGGTTGGGTAGATCTCTAACCAGGAGTAAGAGCCAATAAGCTCCCAAGCATTCACTATATTATGATCATATTTGCATTCATGTGGAGCTTAATTGCCCATAATTAGATCGCGTTAATTTAAATGTTTGGTGAAACCCGCTACTACGCGATTTGTTTTCCAACACACTAGTGTAGTGTAATAACGCCGACTGTTGTCAAGCAACGGCAACTGCTGTGGACAAATAATACACACGCCAGTGAGCAGAGGAACTGGGGCAAGGGTCATGGAAGACCCTATCTGGAAGCCCCTGGAACTTGCTAGAGGGTTCAAGGAGAAAGGCGCGACCAGGGCGGAGCCAGGCCGCGCTGGGTACAATAAAAGCAGCTGAGAGTAGGAGTTCAGCGCTGCCGGTTCTGGGAAGTGGGCTCGTATCGTCGTCGCTGTCATCTTCGCTAGATATTGTGCGGCTGAATAGTTGTTGGCTGTCTCGGTCAGCGCCATCGGTGTTACACCGTCAGAGTTGGGTTTAGGCTAGACTAGACGACTAGAGAGAGCGCATTTATATTTACGCGATCTAACCCCAAAAAAATCTTATGGATGATATTGGTCGCGAAAGCCTACGGGTTAAACTTGCTTAATTGCATCAGCAATTCGGAGTTTTGTATCATATCTCATCACAAACACTCGAAGAGCACCCCTAAGTGGCAGCTGCCTCTGTGTAGCATAAGGTGGCCCAGCACTAGCCTGCATGTGGGCATGAGTCTGTCAGTCATAGGCGATAATTGATGTGTAATCTCAGTTGTGCAATTTCTGGATAATATTTGGAATTTCTCAAATTTTGACAATGACACCAACATGCAAAGACCTATGTGTTTTGAATGACACAATATGTTTTACATCCACTCTTTAAGCAGATGGTGCATATTTTGGTTGATGTTACTGGAGTAGCCAGGAGTGCCTGTCGGATTTGAACCTTGAACCTCTGCAATAAATATAGAATGCGCTACCACTTGGCTTCCCTCAATCTGAGTGTAGGCATGCCAGACAATGTTTCTAACCAGCGCAGATGTTCCATTTAGAGGGGGTCCACGTTTCACATGCCTAGAGAACGGAGGGCATGACAGTTGCCGAGAAGACCCGAAGCTTCATGCAGAGCGACAGGCCAGGTAGCTTCCACACAGCATTGCAGAGCTGATGGAAAGATAATGCCGCCCGACTGAATCGGACCACCAACAAACTGTACACATACGCAGTGTAGACGTATTGTGTACACACAATGTATATACAGCGTACACACGGTCTGCACATACACTGTATACACAAACACTAACAAAAACAACGACTGCCATTCGCCAATACGTGGTGGTGATGTCACCATGGCGCTTGTGCCAGGCTATGTGCACGTTAAGGCCACGTGAAGTGTCGAACTCCCGCCGGCAGGAGGTCACAGGGCAGACAGGTGCTATGGTTCAACTGAGATGACTGGCCGATGCACCACCTGTGTCCCCTACTGTGCCAACATGTGTACACACAGTTTGTATACAGGGGCTGTCCATAAATGACTTCACGCGATTTTGGACGATTTTTGACCCCCCCTACTTCGTCACACGACGTCACAAAAAGTCAGCCCCCCCCCCTCAAATATGACGTCACAAAGCTCTGCCCACCCTCCTCCCCCAAAAATTTTAAACATGCTTCAAATCGCTTTAAATTATTGCCATTGCAGTGCGTATTTAATGTGGCGCTACACTCTGATATTGTAGGAGAATACATTTATTAAAAAGACTTTAATCAAGTAGAACGTGTTGTCTATATTATTTAAGTTGCGCATTTTGATGTGACGTCACATTTATCACCCCCCCCCATCGTCACACATCGTCACAAATGTCTGACCGTCCCCTCCCCAGTTGCGTGACATCATTTATGGACGGCCCCACACACACTATACACAGTTTGTACATACACTGTATACACAGTTTGTACACACAATGTTCACGTTGTTGAGCTCACGCACCCAAAGGGTCAATGTTCAATAGAGGGATAAATGGAATAGGAATTCATCTTCTTGGTTCTTTCGGTAAAGTCACGTAGAAGGGAAGTAATACAATAATAAAAATAAAACAATAAAATATTCTCACGACGTTTCGGCCACAACGCAAGCAGCCGTCCTCAGATGAAAACCAGGTCTGTCAGGGTGACAGCGTCTGAATGAAACAGCACCATGCTTGGAGCATATATTTAAGCTGGGTTGGAAGGGGGGGAAAGGGCGCCTTGACAAATAATTTGTATATCAAGAGGAATTTAGCATATTTATGGGAAATACAGGTATGTGATTAGTACTACTTATGCCCGTGCATTATGCAGGATTATCAGCATCAAAGGGAGGGGATAGGGGTGCTGCTAATCCTGCATAATGCACGGGCATAAGTAGTACTAATCACATACCTGCATTTCCCATATCCCCTCCCTTTGATGCTGCTAATCCTGCATAATGCACGGGCATAAGTAGTACTAATCACATACCTGCATTTCCCATAAATATGCTAAATTCCTCTTGATATACAAATTATTTTGTCAAGGCGCCCTTTCCCCCCCTTCCAACCCAGCTTAAATATATGCTCCAAGCATGGTGCTGTTTCATTCAGACACTGTCGCCCTGACAGACCTGGTTTTCACCTGAGGATGGCTCCTTGCGTTGTGGCCGAAACGTCGTGAGAATTATTTTATTATGTTTTATTTTTATTATTTTATTACTTCCCTTCTACGTGACTTAACCGAAAGAACCAATAAGATGAATCCCTGCAGTCACGAAAGCTTTAAATTGGAATAGGAATCTTAATGAACTTAAACTCTAACCCCGCTCACTGACCTCACCACTGCATTACCTCATAGGCGTGAGGGGGAGGTGTACCCCGCTAGTGACGTCATGTCACCTGCTGCCGCGTGACGTCACGAGACACCAGGAAGCTGCCGATCCGCGCGCGCGCTCACTGAGATCCGAGGTGAGAAGTTCACATCGTGATTGTTGTTGTTGCGGTGGTTGTTGTTGTTTGCCCAGGTAGAGCCCCGCTCCTTCTCTCTCGTAAAGATATCAATTGAGTAGCAGCGAGTATGGAATCGATGTCCAGGTTGGAACATTACAACGCGGGGCCTTGCCTCTTGCCTGATTGCATTTGCTTTGATTCTCTGCTTAAGTTTAATTTGTCTTCATCTGGCTCACTACTTTCAAACTTTTTTTCTTTTAAATATTTATACAGTTTTTTTTTATCTTACCAGGCCAAGCCCACTTCAGCTGCTATACCGCGCTTGTTTTCAGAAGCGACCTGCCCACAGCAAAGTGGCTTATCAATGTGTGGGAATGAATATCGGTCAAATACTCTAAACGCGTGGTGATGTTGACTCTAAATGTGGAGGGAAAGTCCACGCGACCACGGGGAGAGAGAGAGACACGCAAACTCCAAATATACAGGAGGGGTCGGGATCGAACTCACAACCTCCTGTAAACCAGGAGAGACAATTAACATCTCCCAGCCACCATGGTGCACACTCGAGTACATTACCACAATGAGTCTCGGCACTCTAATTCAGGAGCGTTCTGCCGAGTTGGTTTTGCTGATGCACCCTTTAGACCGATAAACAACTTTTTTTATATTACCAACCAAGGCTCACTGAGCTGTTAGATCTTTGTCAGAAGCCACCTGGCCATAGATGATAGCTCAACGAAATAGCTTATCACGTGGAAGATTATAGCAGCCAGATAATCTAAATGCATGTTACTAAATGTGTGAGGGAAAAATCGAAGGACCCTAATAAAAAAATACTGTGAGTGAGTGTACTCATTTGTGTGAGTGTACTCCGCAAGCGTACTCTGCGTGCGTGAGTGTACTCTGTGTGCGAGCGTACTCCGTGTGTTAGAGTACTCTGTGTGAGTGTACCCCGTGTGTGTAATGTGGGGAGCGGTCGTGTTGCGCGGTGACGATCTGACCCAAAAACCTATATTATGAATAATATTGGTCGCGAAAGCCTACGTGTTAAATAGTGTACTGTGTTTGAGGGTTTTCCAATTTAATTTCTTATTTAGTTAAAGGTTATGTTTCAGGTGGGTCCTGCATTGAACTGTTTGACCATCATCAAATATATTTTGAGTTTAGGTTTGGGACAAAAACGGAAAACCCAGTGGAACACCAATGCCGACGGTGACGGCCGACGCCAGGATAGCGGCCACGGGCTCGAAGCGGGGGCAACCCGGCTCTTGTCCCAAGAAAGGAATCCGCTCCCCGCTGCCCTCCACGGTGGCGAATCGTTGGCGGGGCTGCACGTTGAGCCCCAACTTTTCCAGGAGGTCGGTACCTGCAATACACTCGTGGCATAACAGGCTCGACACGTATAACTCCTGATTACACACCTGGTGTACGAGGCGACCCTTAAGGGTGACCCTCCCCAGCAGTCCCATCCCACTTCCACTTGCAGTGTGCAGTGCACGATCCGGGGCCTGTAGGCGGCCCACTTCAACTCCGACCACGCTGCAGTGTGTTGCACTCACGAGTGACGTTACCGCCTCCGTGTCCAGCAGAATACGGGTACGCCACCTGTTCACCTGCCCTTCCACGAGCGACGTGGCCCCCATTATTCCTGCCACCAGCTCCCACAGCCAGTCACCCGCAGTCGCCG